CTGCATTAAAAGGGTTTGGACAAATAAAACTTTAAAATTAAATTGTGTTCTAATTTCTAAGATTTTGCATGAAAGTCCACTGGATGCTATGTGACTTGAATTACATATTGAGTGCTATAGTATGTATCAATTATTTAGTGAAAACCAGTTGCAATTTAAACATAGAAAAGTCATTATAACCTTTTATTTTTAAAGAAAACAGAAGAGACACAGTTCAGTTAGGGAAAATTTTCCTGAAGTTGTTCAGTGATTCCTCAGGAGTAATATTTTGGCTATTATTCAATTATTAAAAATAATTATTTTTTTTAACATCACATGGGAGGTTTGGCAGTGGAAGAGGGACTGAATATATTAATGAGAAAATGTTGGAACCCTGATATCATCCAAAACACTAACAAAATCTGAAATGTCACCTGTAAAGATTGCTCCCAAATATTACAGTTTGTATTTCATAAGTATTTGTATAAAATCTACATAGCTAGAAAATAAATCTAGTTTTATTGCCAAACCAGATCAAAATCCAATTTAGGCACAGGAAGGAAGTCTTTGTTCAAATATATTGAATCAAAAAGTAAAATCTTATATGATTTAGAGATGAGTTAATCAATCTGAATAGTTTGTATTCCTTCCCTCTATTTTCTATTGTATCCTCTAAGAGTAATGTAAAATTTTATCTAGTACCAACAACTCTTATGCTTTTATCTTTTTATTTTAGAAAGTGGTATTTCTGTAATGGTTGTAATGTGATCCACTAAACCTTATGTCCATAAATCAAGTTATTATGGTTTGTTGCACAGTCAGCCAGATGTTCAGACTGAATTTGGCATTTTTGTCTACCTATTGGGTCCTTTTCAAGGACCTGAGATAGGTAGATCTGATTGTTTGATGGTGTTACAGACATTATTATAATTATAATTAGTTAATTATTACACAGTCAGACAGATGTTCAGACTGGGTTTGGTATTTTTGCCTACCTATCGATTCTTTACCAAGGACCTGCGATAGGCAGATCTGGATGTTTGATGGTGTTATAGATACTGTTGCAGTGTAGAAACTGTTCCTAGTAAAGCCGCCTTTTGCAATTGACTGATGGCAAATTTGTCAATGCCAATGTTGTTCAAGTGGTGCTCCAGTTCTTTTGGGATTACATACAAACTGTTGGTATTACACTTGCTTGCCTTTACCACAATCTTTCTATTTCTATTTGTAGATCTTTGTATTTTGTTATCTTCTCTAATTTTTTCTCTTCTATTCTGCTGTCTCCAGGCACTGCCATATCCACTATGCAGACATTTTGTCTTTCTTATCGACAATTGTTAAGTCTGGGGTGTTATGTGGCAGGTGTCTGTCTGTTTTAATTCTAAAGTCCCAGAGCAATTTAACTTCTTCATTTTGTAGGAATTATTATTATTATTATTATTATTATTATTATTATTATTATTATTATTATTATTATTATCATCATCATCATCATCATCATCATCATCATCATCATCATCATATCATGATCATGATCATCATTATCATTATCATTATTATTATTATTATTATTATTATTATTATTATTATTATTATTATTATTATTATTATTATTATTATTTCCTATGAGAAGAGGCTGCATATGGCCCATGTTGACAATAGATGCTGAAAAAATGGCAGTCTAACGGCTTCATATTGCTGGAAGATGCACTTGTTAGGGCATACATTAAGTCTACTCTCGTTAAAATGAAATCTTTTATAAATCACAGTGGAGACAGATTTAATAAAAATATTTTTATAAATGGTATATTGAAAAAACATTCAGAAGTTGTGAGAAATTCAGGTTTCACAAGTGAAAATTTTCAGAAGGGCACAAATTGCTAGATTTATAAGGGTTCTATGTAAGTGGAATATAGTGGTGGAATAGCTATACCAGTGTTTGAAGATGTGTGGACTTCAACTCCCAAAATTCTGGCTTGTTGACTGAAGAATTCTGGGAATTGAAATTCACACAACTTTAGATTCATGATTGAGAGATGTTGAGATATACAAACCAAATTAAGAAAATTGGGGATTAGCTATAGAACTGATAGCTTGGCTCTGTGGCTAAGCTGTCTAAGCTCTGTGGCTAAGCTATCTTAAATAATGTGGTTCTGATTTTAAGCTCTTCTGTTTCTGAGCACAGGAGAAAAAGAAGAGGGACTTTTCTGCTTTTCAGCTTAGTTTTGATTGCCTGAAGCAAAAAAGAGGAAAGGAGGGGGGGATTTACAGTATTTTATACTCATGTTTATTATTTTTGGGTTGTCCATTTGGCAGTTTAAAATCAATAATATGAGCAAAATAGAATCCATGTAAGACATTTCATTTACTTAGAAAATTTTCACAGTTTAGCTGAAATAACTGAGCACCCATTTTAAATGATTATAAAATTAAGGCTATATGTATATAATGAGTATAAGGATGAGCTTTTATTTCCCAGGAATCAAATGTTTTTACTGTTGTTCTGCTGCACATTTTGGGAGAGCTTGACAATATTCTCACAAAATGGCTTTTTTCGAGGCTTATGGATGCAAGCACTAAATGGTAACTACATATCATTTTGTAATGTAGTAGAATATGTACTTAGTTTTAAACAGGATGGCTCATTCTTAATGTGATAGAAAATCATGGTTTCTCATTATGTGAAAGAGAAGCATTTAATATTTGTTCCTCACATCCCTTGCCAATAATGTATCACATACCGTAGCTTGTTTAAACTATGGTAAGAATAAATTTGGATCAACAATAGTTTTAAATTCTGGTTTCTTCTTAAAGTATAAATAAAACAAAGGAGTTCCCTATTCAATTAGCTTAAAATGAGAAGAGCACTGTCACAACTCATTCATACAATCGTAGACTAATGTTCCTTGTACATGTGAGAAGTACTTGTTATTTTCAAATAGCTTTATTGAAACAGTGATCCTTCCTTCCTTCCTTCCTTCCTTCCTTCCTTCCTTCCTTCCTTCCTTCCTTCCTTCCTTCCTTCCTTCCTTCCTTCCTTTTTTCTTTCTTTCTTTCTTTCTTTCTTTCTTTCTTTCTTTCTTTCTTTCTTTCTTTCTTTCTTTCTCCATTTGAATCAATAGCAAAAAACAGAGTAGGAATAGCCTTCTATTCCTTATGTGGTAATATATATGCTTATTATATTTTTATTCCCCTGTAGTTGTATCTCCAACTGCGTCTCATAGACACTGCTTTTGGGGTTCAGCTTCTATAAAACCTTTTAACAGGCTTTGTAAATTCCAATGTGTATATTCTATAAATATATACTTGAGAGGCTATACATAATATCAATCTGTTTATTACTTTTTTCTTTTAATGTTTAGTAGAAATATGTTTGTAGGGAAGTTCAGAGAACATTTCTCAGAGAAGTTTGGTAATCACCAATGAGTAATGTGAAATATATTATGAGAGCTGCTGGTGGAGGGATAATGACCTAAAATCGGCTAATGAATTTGGGGCTATTCTGCTGCACCCATCACTCCATAGTTTCCTACATTACACCTGGACAATTTCCTGGGAGTCTTTAGAAAGATTTTTGGGATATTTAGGGATGAAGGAAGGGAAGATGAAGTAAAGAAATTTACAACTGTGAACCACCTTAAGTTATCTTAGCCTTTACATTACACTTTAAGTTATCTTAGCCACCTTAAATTATCTTAGCCATTACAAATAGTATGATCACAGCTAAAAATGAAAACATTAACATTCCAACTGTTTATCATTGCAGTTGTTCTATATAATAATTCCCAAACTTGTAATCTAATGGTTTTGTTAATATGACATTACTGTAGTCCAATCCATTACTTCCTTAGGAACTCTGGATTACTCTTTTGTTTGTTTCAATCAAAGGAATATTTATGCGTGCATAGATTTACCTTCTTTGCTGTAATGAAATAGAAATGAGGAAAATCTCATTTAAAACCAGAACATGGCTCTTGTTCCCATTATAAGTCACTATATTTTGGGCAAAGTGTCTAAGTTATTCTTTGTAGAAACACCCTCAGTGACCTCATCTTTTCTCCATCTCTAGACATTTGTATATATTAGAGTTTGCTTGTTTGTTGAGAAGCAAAATGTATTAATCATATGTGTATCTTGCTTTGTGGGCCACCGGGTCAACAGGCTCTCTTTTCTTTAATAGTGTGGCTGCATTAGATGCATTCAAATGACTGAGAGGAATACTGTTGTTAAATGTTACTTCACATGCACAAACAAATCATTCAAAATCAGCACAGAAATAAAAAGGTCTGAATAGGTAACAATTCTGATGACTTGTAAAGTGTGTATGTAACTCACAAAACCTGTATGAAGGAAACAAATAATAACAATGCCCTAAAGGGAGGGGGAAAAAAGATTTTCACATAAGGGAGGGATTCTGTCTCTTGCTGTTTAAAATGTGAAACTGAATTTTACTTGTTTAGTAACGCAAGTGTTACACAATGCTTTGAAGTCTTAAAATTCTGGGATAAAAGTTTACATCCAAAAGTGAGGGGTGTATGAAAATTGTGCTTTCAGACAGTAGAGTTATTTGTCATACCAATTCGTCTCAACTTTAGATTCTGGGCCAATTTCTATAGTATTATATCTCTATATAGTTATGTATATATGTGCAGTTTCTCATATACAGTTCCTGCTCAAAAAAATTCTAAAACAATGTGCTTCACTTCATATATAGCCAAGGCACCTGTGTATTTCTCCCTTTTGGACAAAAAGTGATACGAAGATCCAGATTCCCTGGTGAAGACAGCCATTTTATTAGGCCTTCTCTCTTCCATCTTGGAGCTCCATAAGCCAGAAGAGAAGGCTCTATTTGGCTCCTTGCTTGGGCTGGAAGAGATCCAGGAGGCTGCGTGGAGCTTCATGATCAAACGAGGGAAATCAAGCAGAACCGTGAAGCAGAGGGACATTAACAAAAAGGCTATTCTGGTGTGAGGAGGAGGAGGAGGAGGAGAAAGAGGAAGAGGAGAAGGATTCTGGTGTCTTCAGCTCCACAAGCAGATGTTGCCACTGGACTGACACGTTGAACCTGCTCCTGCAGGGGAAAGGTAGAGTTTGCCATTGGGACAAACACAGATTTCATAGATAGTCTGTCTTGTTGCCGATGAACTTGGTGAGGAAGATGAGGGAAAAGACCCCAGCGGTAGATTCCCTAGTCGGATTGAGTCTGCATTTAAAAATATCTAGGGGGGAAAAAAGAAAGGAAGAAAATGAATTACTTTTACTGCAGGACTTGATTGGATTATTGGATTCTCTAAAATAGACTTTCCAATATAGAAAAGATGCCCTTCTCTGTATTTCAGAATGAAATTCAGTTGTTACAAAATGGCAGAATCAGGCTCTTTCCTGGTTAACTGGACTTCATGGCAACCCAGTAGCTGGCAGGAATGCCTTTCTTTGTGCGACCCCAGCTGTCCTTATTTTTGATACCATGCAAGGTTTTCATCTGGTGTTTAAACGTTGAAATAGAGCAGAAAGCTGAAGTAGTGCATAAGGACATAAGAGTTTGAGCTCTGAAAAATGAAAAGCATACAGCACTATACTCTTTGGTGATACTGATTTAACCGTAGCCATTCGTCAGTTCCACTTAGGGAAGAGATTATGCATATTCCTCTTACTAATGTAGCAATTATATTCCTACATTAGTGTCCATCAGCATAATGAAGTTTGAAAAGTGCACTGTAAGTGAGAAGGCAAAATTTAATTCCCACAACTCTGCAACTGGTTCCCTTTCTTCTTGTTCATTTAATAATCTCCCAGTTTTTGATATCACCTAGGAAAAGAACATTTAGGAAAGGATTTCAATTTATGAGCTACTGATATGGATTTAGATTGTTGGACAATGAAACTTGCAAAGGTGAATTTCCATCCATTAGCTGAGGACCTTTGGTAGGTAGTTAGGAAGAGATTAATTGAGTAATTAACGATGGAGAGGAGATAAAAACATACCCAACAGCCCTAATACCTGCCCCATCTTCCCTTAAAACTATCAGCATTGTGGTGAAAGCTAGGAAAGTTATACTGAACAGCTAATGATTATTATACTGCTAATAATGTGCAATTCAACTTCTGTTTGATTCTTATGATTGTGCTGAATTAATATTATAGGGGAATTAAAATGTGAAAATAGACAAAAACTTTGTGGGAGAACCAACAAAGATTGTATAAGGAGCATGAGGCTTAGAATATGGAATAGGAATAGATGATGATTATCTTGATAATAGAAGAATTATAATTTATATACTATTTGCCAATATCTTCAGTTACAACATTTTTGTCTTGATATGTAACAGCAGCCAAAATGCTCCAGAATCCCACTTACTCCTAAAGGATTTAACATATTCTTTACAAAATGATTCTAGAAACAGCTGCTAGTTCATACTAATTAAATGTTCAAGAACACAGAGACATGTGGAGAAAGGATTTGGAGTGGGTTTTTATATTTATATCTAATATATCTAATATATCTCTTCCATTCATCTTAAACCATGAAAATAAATTGGATAACTATGGGCCAGATCCTTTTTCTCACCTACTTCACAGTGTTGCAATGAGTTTATGGAGGAGAAACACAATATAAAATGCTCAAGGAATTTAATAGATAACCTCTGGACACAACCTTGTGGTTATAGTAAAGTTGGCGCAAGTCCAGAAGAGGTTAAAATATTGGATTTTGTTGGAACCATTGCAACAAAGCGGCCTTCATGAGAGGATGGCAATGAAGCAAAAATGTAGATGCCATTTTTTTTTCATTTTATTCACCGAAGAGAAAAGGGAGCCATTTCCTTGAAAAGGAACATCGCTGCCTGAGCAGGAGCCTTGCTTGCATGCCACAGTGCTGAAGTGCAGCTGGATTTCAGAATGCCAGTAGGAGAAATATGAAGAGCAGTTGTTTAGAACCCAAAGATGCATTAGGAGAAAAGATCCTGCAGCTGAAACCATGGGAAAAGTTATGTTTGTCAGTGTACAAGTGTGCTCTGTGCACGGTGGCCAAATAACAGAGGAAAGGAAGAGGTAAAGGCCTTGGCAGCCAGAAAGGATTCTGGAGTCTGAGTGGGGTAAGGTGAAATCAGAATGGAACAGAATGGATCATGTCAAAGTAAGCCATAGAGGATGTCAAGTAGTATGCATTTCAACCATATCATTTTACAGAGGTTCTCAGTAAACTAAGGCGTTTCCCAGAAAGGAATGTGGAGCAATCATGCCTTTTAATTCCAGTAATGAATTACGTTCTTAATAAAACTCCCTCCAGTGTCCATCTGGTATCCATCTGGACCCATGGAATAGAACATCTTAAAGGGATTGTCTTTCTTCCGGAGACAATAAGCAGTAACAAATATTTGGAGCAAGAACTGATTTGGCCATCAATTTAATGTCCTCCAGAATCAAATCAAACATCAGCTACTCTAGGTTGAAGATGCTATCAAGCACACAGATTTTTTTTTATACACATGTAATTAAATGAGATGGACTTTATTGCAAGAAAGAGAGAAATAAAATTAATTTAAGGCTCCAGTTCTAAGCAACATATAATGGACTAGTGTTCAAGTAAACATGCATAGGATTTCACTAGACGAATATGGTTCTCTAATAAAGCTTACCTCCCCTTCTGTGGATTGCAAATGTAGCTCTTTTCTACAAGTGGCTTTCAAGTCCCCTGCGGCTGCAGTCACTTGTATTCCCTTTGGAGCTTCCATTATCAAAGATCTTGTAGGTGATTCAAGCCTAGAAAATGGGGGTGGGTTGGGTGGTGGGGATGTAAATGAGGAAAGCGAGGGAATTTATTAAAAAAACTCAATAAGATCACATGTCCTATGTATTGCCCATCAGCTAGGTATTTTTTTCTACAACGCAATAGAAATAAAATATCCATTGTGTTCTGGAAAATACCAACAACATTCCTAAATGCATTGAAAGTTCTTTTGAATATCATTTGTAGAGTACAATATTTTTTAAAAAATATGGTCTATTTTATTTCGTCAGTTATTTTGAATGGTCTATAAGGATACAATATTTAACTATGACTAAAAATTTTATATAAAAATATATAAATTGAATGTGTTTTACAATCATGTGTAGGTGACACCTGCTGTTTGTGCATTAACAGCTGATATATAATTACTATCATAGTAAAAGAGGAGCTTATGAAAGTCCTGAAATTACTTTGGGTACTATTAGAAATGTATTTGCTTCCTCCAAATGAGGTGGCTGAAATCTAGGCATTTGAAAGATCCAGCCAATAAGCATGCCAGAAACCTCAGTACAAAATCTGTCCTATAGACATTAGTCTTTAGGGTTGTCATGTTTATTGTCAACATGGGTGCTTTGAATATTGGCAGATAGGCAAGGAATATGGATTCCAAGAAATAAATAATGCAAAAATTATTAATAAGCATGTATAGCCTGATATTGCCTGATTTAAAGATTTCTTATCTAAATGTTTCAACATCATTTTTTTCAGGGTTCTTTATCAAAATCTGTTACAGACTTACTTCTCTATTTGCACAAATGTTGCCATTCTTTTACAATAATTAATGATTGGATTTCTTTCGAATAATTTGTGTTTTGCTGTTATGCTCAACTTTCTAATTGGTCTGCCATCTCAATGGTTGATGGGGGGTGACTACAGGAGTGGGATAAGTGACAAATGGTGTGTTGCAATGCTGCAATGCAAACTATGCTCATAATGTATTGTGGGTGATTGTGCAACACAAGTGGGAAAGAGGAGACTTTGTAATTTGTCATTAGCACATTTATTATATTGATACCATCATGTCTAGTTGGGGAGATGAATATTTGTAAACTTGCTTCCTTGCTTATACAATACATGGAGTGCTTTAAAACAGCAAATATTAAACCAAAGCTGAAAAATATAATTAAAAAATTATGTCATTTATGGATTTCCCCTTGCTTTATTTAACTATGTTCCAAGTTAGGTTTAACACAAATAACTTTTTAAAGTTATTAAACAGCTTGTCTTATATAAATATTTATCAATGAAATTTGGTAACATTTACCCTTTATCTTATGTGGTTCCTTTGAAGAACAGTGATTTATGTCATGACTACGCCACCTTATTAGGGAAAGAATATGATTTAAACTGCAGGAAAAATCTATTTTTAATAGGTATTATTTAAGAACCACTTACCTTTCAAAAGGAAATTTCTAGACATCCTAATTTTTATTTCACTTCTACAAACTCCACTTTTTATTTCTTTTCCTCAGGTAAATGCTGGTATGTTATTGTATGATGAAATGGACCATATTTTTGTGTGCTTTTCTGATCCTCATGAAATTTAAAATAAATGTGGTTTAAAATATAATTACTTTTGTCTATATAGGCAAGGAAGACAAATTTACTTATAAAAGTAAAGGGTTTTTATTTTGAATTCAAAGTTATTAATGCTAAGTTGGAAACATTAGGCTAGATGATGGATGTCATCCAGCCACTGTTTCGGGCATTTAAATTCCATTGTTTATAGCCAGAGTTTTAAGAAGGTGTTTGACTTTCTACTGAAATCAATGGGGACTTGAAAGCACTAAAATTTGATTGACCTATGCTTGGTATAGATCACAGATTCTAATCTTGTGGAGAAGATAATTTTAATTAAGCAGTAATAACATTAGTCCTGTTATTGTTACCTCTCCTGCAACCCTGAGGTAACAAACAATTATAAACGGTCCCAAAAGGGATCAAGTATTTAAGATCAGGTGAATAGTTGCACCTTTCAAGAGAGCTGCTGAGTTATTTGCTGTGTTGTACTGAACTTGGTTTTGGAGGCCAGATACAGAATATGTCAGAGAACATGTGCAGAAGAGCAAATCACATTGTCTTAAAATCCAAGCCAATGCATATGACATCTGTAGCAGTTCTGCCTGAAGAATCTGGAGGTGAGCAAATGAGACTCCTACAAATTAACGGACACACTAGGCTTTTAAAGAGGTTGAGTGAAACAGTCAAAAGAAAACTCAGAAATATTGCAGCCCAATCATATTTTCATTTGCAATTATTTCTGTACTGCAGGTCAAGCTGAAACATTAATCAAAAATGCTCCAGTTTTGAAGACACAATTAGACTTTACTGTTGGTTGGAGAGCTATGTTGGGAGAAAATGCATTACAGTAGTAGCACCTTGTTAAATCGGCAGGTCAGAGGCTTAGTTTAATTTGGATGTGCAGTTACAAAAAACAAAATTTGCCTTGTATCTCAGGAGAGGGTATAGCAAAATCAGCCTCTTAACAAGATCCTTCTCAGAGAACTTCCCAGACTAAATCAGAGATAACAATCCATGCCGAGCACTCATGCACCTATGATTTGAATGAAGGTTGACACAGGTGTTTGTGGTTAAATATTTTAGGAAAACCTTAAAACTATTTAAAAAGGGATGCTGGGTCAAGATAAAAATATAGAGATATCCTTGAGTCAAACTCGAGCTGACTCCATAGTAGGTCAATAATGTCGAAGTAACTCCCCATGGAAATCAGATTAGAGTGCATAAGAAGTTGAAGGTTCAAAAACTCAGCAAATTTCAAAACTAACATTGAAAACTGCTATTCTGTTTTTTTAATGATTTAATCTGTCATTTCTAAACTAGTTGGAATGTAAAGCTGCATAAAATTTTATAGGTGACATTGTATTGCACAAATAAAGGCAATTCCTGATGTCTCCTCTTGTACCAGGGTTTCAATTGTTTTGTAATTCTATACATGCATTGATAAAATTTGTGCAACCTCCCCTAGATAAAATCTGATATGCCTCTGATGCTCTCTGATATGATAGTTGTTGCAATTTTCATAGATGAATTCTACCCTCCTCCCCAAATTCTGAAATGTCTTTTAATAAGGTTTGGTGTAGCCAATTTCAGGATTGGTAAATTAATATATTGTTTTATTTTCCCCCAAATAAATGAAAGGATAGCTGTAAGGATAGAAAATATCTTGATATATTTAATCTAAAAGAATCTATTAATCTTCCAATTAATTAGAACATGAACAAAAAATAGGAAAGATTAATTCACATATCTACAGAAGGATGCTGGTAGTGTCAATACTTGAGGGAAAAGTTAAGTCCTTCTCAATCATAGTTCCATTGGCAAAAATATATGAGCCAAATTTAGCTTCAAAAGAAACATCAGTTCTTTTCTGAAACCAAAACTGGGAGTCTTTTACATTCATTAAGTTTCATTAAGCTGGAGTGACACTTTGACTTGCAAAACACCAGATGATAGTGGGTTGATTTCTTTTTTACGTATATAGGCATTGAAAGCCAACAGAAAGAAATGTCACTCATATTTATATTTTTAGTATAAATAGTACAGAAAATGGTCCTGGCATTTTGTCCAAAGCAAGCAGCTTGAGCAACATAAAGAGCTATTTTGAATCCTGAGAGCCTGTCCAAGCAAAGCTGAAAAAGCAGGACAAATCTCTAATTTTGGCTCTTTGTTTTAGCTATGTAAGGAAAGATAAATCATGAATAATAAGAAAGAGAATCAAGATTGTCTAATAATTTATAACTGGATCTTGAAATTCAAACCAGGTATAGCCTTGATCCTGCTGGGAAATTTAAAAAGCTAGAACAGGAATGAAAAATGTCCAGCCAATGAAGGAGCTTGTTTCAGGCATGAAAACCTGTCTCGGATTGATGTCAGAGTCTTTTCAAAATGTACTTGCTGATCAGACAGCATTTTGGTTGCTCATAACTAGGAAGAGGAAATTTAATCCCTTCTACCCATGATTTCCTCGCAAGGAAATATAATCTGCTTGTCTTTCACCAAAATATTTATATGACCCTGGTAGGACTGGTGGAAGTTTTATAGAGCTTTATTGTTGCATGTAAGAGAAGAGGCAGGAAGCCTTGTTGAATAACTTGTATGTTATTCAAGAGTTCTACATGGCAGGAGAATATATGAAAATAAATGTGTGGGATGTGCGTAGGTACATAGGATATACCTTGTGTTAATGAACAGATCCAAAAAAATTACAGCCTGTGTCTACATACTGGCAGTGAGGAGGCTCTGCCCATTTTGGACATGATTTCAGTGTCTAATTCTGTCCTCAAGCCAGAAGGGCTTCTCCATTTCTATATTAGATTAACATGAATGTTAAGAAAAAAATGGGGAACATTCTTCTCTGGTTGAAGGATGGGCATATCCCTGGAGAGTTCAACTTGGCATAATATCTCAGGTAAGGTCTTCTCATTTAGGACTATTATCTCTTTCTCCTCCTTTTTCAAATTCCTGCCTGCCTGCCTTCTGAGCTTACTAGGAAACAGATATACTGATGGAAATTGGTAACTATAAAAATATAACAATAAAACTGACTGTTGAGTGTGAAAGATGCTACTCATCTTTCTGTTTCAGACATCTAATCAAGGAGAAAAAGGTTGCTTGATTTTCTTATTGCTTCAGTTCTTGCAGCTATTTTTTTTTCCTTTCCTGGGATCTAGAGCCTGTTTTCTCAAGGAAAAGCAACCAATGGTAGAACTTGCAGGTAACAAACAAGACCTCAAGAAAGGGTCAAGAGTATCTTTCTTGACTGCTTTGCCTTTTAGACTATGGTCTCTCACCACCCTCGTGTCGCGTTTTCTGGCTCTCAGAAATACAAAAACTATTTGCCATCCCAGCCTCCAGCTCAAGTTATTTTGGCATCAAATATATAGCTACTGAACATATTTTTCTCACCTTATTACGTGAGAAATAAAATGTAACAGTCACCTTATTATCAATC